AATGTCTGTATTACTATTAGTTTGTTCTATGGTTTTTAAGGTATATTTGATTTTATTGTTTAGTGTGGGTGCTAATATGATATTATTTGGTGTTAATATTCTTTGGATATATTCAAAAATAGTAGGGATATAATCTAAGTTTTTGTAAATTATTTGTCTTTGGTTTGGGTTGACCAAATGAGTGGTTGTGTAGTTATTGGTTGATAATTCTGTTGGGGTAGTTATTTAATTGAAAAGTGTGATAAATTTGGTCTGTTTCCATGTTTTGGTTAGTAATATCACTTGTACATGTTTTGATTTTGTTGACATACATATTGAATATGTTCTTTTTAATATACATGAGTGTGCTGGAGTGGTAATTTATTACTTTACTGACGTCACAAAGTTTTATATATTTTTTAAAGGTAATGTGATTATCATATCTTATTATCATGATGTCTAAAGATGATAAGATATGATACACATTTGTTTTAAAGAAACCATTTTAAAGACTTTCTTTAAGAACTTTTTTCTCAATTCTTGTGTAAATGCTTAACACCAGTATAATTGTCCTGTTTATAATTAATATCCATGTTGGCAAAATATATAATAAGAAATTAAATAAAAACAGTAAGGCAATAATAATTGATCTAAATTAAATTTACTATTCTGAATCTAGATGCTTTTATTACTAAATGATTTAGAATTTTAATAAAAGTCAAATGTATTTGATGTGTTAACTCATTGGTGTCAACATGTTAAATATGTTTTCTATGCTGATGATGATCTAAAATTAGTTTGAAGACTTTTTCTGGTTTATTAATAATAATCCATAACAAGTAAAACGGAAAAACTGTATTTGGGACAAGACTATATGTCAGAGATGCACTACTAAGTAGAATCACTTTGACACTCAAGGCAGGTCTCGTTCTCATTCTCCAATCTTATTTGATATTGCTGCTTTTGGGCACGATCGTTCAAACTTCGCCAGCCACAGCCACGAGGTCATCCATTATGCATTTTTGATTAAATTAACCTATCCAATTTCGAAATTTCTCTCCATTGCGTGTCAGCCCAGGTTGAATTTTTGTCGATGTGTAACGAAAATTTCCTGTTTTTGAAAAAAAATAATTGTGGCTATTGTATCGTCCGAAATTATTTTTTTATTTTGCACAAACAATATATAGTTTAACCCGATTATAACATCATTGGATGTAACAACAACCCTAATATAACATCAAGTTTTTATCGGTCCATGATTTTACTATACTAGATAATGTTTAAAAAAACCCACTTGTAACGACATAAAACTGTTTTAAGTCATATTTGAAGCACTCCCAAATTTACAAAATTAGATTACAAATTTTATTTAACGTAGAAGAAACTGTGTGTTCAGTCCTAAGGTGTTCAGAGTTCACTTCTTAGAATGACTGCAGGTGGTACTCTCCCCTACCTGACTTCAGTGGGGTGAGGTGCCTGTTTTGCCTGTTGTAGAAGAGGGTCGCCATTTTGTATTTTATTTTGACTCGGTCTCCTGAATACCTACAAGTCTGGATTTTTTTATGCACAAATGATTTGGGTACCGAATACTATGATACGCTTCTTGTCTAGGCTTCTGAATAGCTTGTGACCACTAAAATTGGCTTTACTTTACCGCTAGACTTATTACACCACCACAGGACATCAAATTAGATTTAGAAAAACACTATTTTATTTTCAGAATGCATTTCAGACATGGAGTCCCTCATCAGCTTTTTGCTACAAAAATAATAGGTGGTTAACAATTTTTATAAAAAGACCATGATTGACAGAAATGAACAAAGAATGTGGACTTATATTTGACATGTGGATTCAATGTGTTGAACATTAATTAAAAGACTAAGCACACGATAAAACAAAATTTTCCATTAAAAATGATTATGTTGATACAACAACATAATAAGAAACTGAGGTTCTGGTAAAACAGTAGAGTAGTAAAAATATGCATTGTTAAAACAAAATGATAAGTAGATTTACAGTAACATGAACAGAGTAACACGGCGATTTGAAGTACATTCCAGGGTAACCGTCACCCTCACCCCTACCCATTTTCACACCTCTCCCCTTCTCCCACACCTCTTCTAGTCAAGTACCACGATTTGTGTAATTTTTGACTGGAGTTGTTATTCATGATTTTCTCTGTTTTTTATTATTACTCTGTGCCAAATATCAACTCTTGACATGTACTCCTTCATACTTCAAAGCTGGTAACATAAACTGGCAGTACGATTTTATAAACAAGGCAGTCTTATCAATAAGTTATTGATAACCTTAATTATAATAATCATTTTTCTATCTCTCTGTGATAAGTTTTTCTCCCTGACTTACAAGGTGAACTTGGGAGGTTGTCATCACTGATTTTGACAAAATTTTGTGGATGTGTAGTATTTATGTGTACTTAAACTCTGCCAAACCACAGGACCCACTATTCAGGCATTCTCAAGAAAATCACAATTAAAATTTTTCTATAACTATTAATACCTATTCAGAAGTACCATTTATGCATTGTTGGCATGATTAGTTAATTAAGACAGTGGTTCTCAAACTTTTTTAGGATTTCTTGCATAATGATCTCTTTACAATTTTTTAGATTACTAATGGACCCTTTAAAATTAACTACAATTAACATATAGGCTACTGTTGTCAAAACATTTTTGGCAACAATTATTTATTCAAAAAATAGCAAATCTTAGTCATGAAATGTACAGTACATTCAATGGGATGGGTTCATCTGCTTCGCCTGAAGTGACCCCTTCATGGGCCCTAGAGGACTGTGGACTCCAGTTTGAGAGCCACTCAGTTAAGGCATTGTGTGAAGAGTGTTAATATGCGAGTTGAATCCCGTAAGAGATAAAATATTTTTTTACATTTATAATTTAATCTTATTGTTAGTAAATTTATGTACAGTTTTTAAAGTTGTCAAGAATTTATTTTTTTATTTTTATCACTCCATATTTAAAAAATACATAACATTATAATCACATTTTGTATTGTTTAACATAACAAAAGNAAAGTTGTCAAGAATTTATTTTTTTATTTTTATCACTCCATATTTAAAAAATACATAACATTATAATCACATTTTGTATTGTTTAACATAACAAAAGTTCTTATATTATACATATCAATACATTTATAATATCTTCCTATCCTGACATATAAAATGTATTGTAATAAGCAACTCAACACCATCTGCAAAAATGTATTATATATACTGTATATAATATACATAGGCCTGTTTTTTCAACCTCTGATGGTCCATAAAAAACAAGTGTAAATAACAAAATGAATTTATTACCAAAAGTTAGTACAAACATGGTTTTCGACACAATCACTGTGAAGATTGATGCATTTGTCATATCTGTGGATGAGCTTTTCCATCCCCTTGTCATAGAATGTTGCCACCAATGACTTGAGATGGGCCCTAATGTTGTTTTGAAGATTGTCATTAGTCTCAAACCTCTGTCCTCCTAGCCACTTTTTCTGTTCAAGAAAGAGGTGGAAGTTGCTTGGTGCTAAATTGGTACTATATGTTGGGTGTTTAATAGTGGTGAAGACTTTCACCTTTCAGACTTCTATGCAGCTTGGAGCTTTTTAATGTGTGAAGACTTCCACCTCTTTCCTGAACTGAAAACGTGGTTAGCAGGGCAGAGGTTTTAGACTAATGACGATCTTCAAAACAATACTGTTAAGGCCATCTCAATTCACTGGAAGCAACATTCTATGACAAGGGGATGCAAAAGCTCATCCACAGATATGACAAATTCCTCAATCTTCAAGGTGGCTATGTCAAAAAGTAAGCATGTTTGTACCTAACTTTTGGTAATAAATTCATTTTGTTATTTACACTTGTCTTTGTTTTATGAAACATCAGAGATTGAAACAAAAACAGCCTTTATATTAGTAGGTAGATAGGCCTAATTTAATTAGGAAAGAAAACTAGACAAAGATAATGCTTTTTGCATGGATGGTTCAGTTTTATTGGAGAGGTAAGAGTACCAATAAAGTTCATTGGGTCCCTTTGATGTAGAAAGGGAAGCGACCAAAGTTGACAGCTAGGATTCTCTGTTCATTTGCCAGTGACCTCAATGATGGACAGTATAAATAAAACCAAGCATGCCAGACAAATTTTTATAGAAGACTTTTTGCTTATATTGTATTTGATTTGTGAGATATGGATATTCCTATGGCATCAACACACACTAGTGTACTGTAGCTATCTCCTTAAAATGATAGAGAAATAGCCAATCATGAAGCTGATATTAAAATACTCAATAATTCATAACCAGTTGGGTGCTCCAGTTTTTTCTGACATGTTAAAATATGCATTGTTTGCATCTCAAATAACATGTGAAAGAAATTAATCATCGAAGACAAGTCTGTCCAAAAGGGACCACCATTTATTTTGTATTCCAGACTTTACACATACACATCTAACAGTTTTTTAATGGCTTTTTTTTTTTACTTCTGGTGGCATGAAGCCTAAAAAGGAAGGCCTGTTGCCATAGATGTGTATGTGTAAAGTCTGGAATACAAAATAAATGGTGGTCCCTTTTGGACAGACTTGTCTTCGATGATTAATAATAATCTCGCCATCGGACGGAAAAATCAACAAAAAAAAAAAAAGATTATTTGTGCATGGTGCACTGAACCATTATGTTTTAACTGTTTTTATGATAAATACCACCCAAAATGTTGTCTTATTCTTGTGAAACAGTATTTATAAGTATTTATTGCATGTATATTTTTTGTGCCAAAACTTTAAATTGTTGAAAAATAATTTTTGAATTTTCTGATATTTTATAAAGAATAATAAATTTAAAATCCAATAATTAAAAATGGCATAAAAATTATACATAACAAATTTAATAACAGTAAGATTAAATTATAAATGTAAAAAACTTCATCTCATATGGGATTCGAATCCTCATGTTAACACTCTTCACGCAACACCTTAACTAATCTCACCACACCATGAACATATGAGTGGTGCTTATGCACAGGTATTAATAGTTCTGGAAAAACTTTAATTGTGATTTTCTGGAGAATGCTTGAATAATGGATCCTGTGGCTTTAGCAGAGTTTAAGTATGAGTAAATACTTCACATCCACAAAATCTCTTTGAAATCGGTGATGACAACCTCCCAGGTTACCCTTTCTAAATTAAGAAGCTGACTGATACTACGTGTCAGTTCTCTACAATGAATAAGAATTGAATGATCAACTTTGAAATCTGTGTCATTGGATATAATAAACTGTGAAACTTTTTCTATTTACTTTTTTCAAGTTATTTTAGCATTTTATTATTATTATTAATTAATTAATTCAAAGAAAACTGGTACCAATTTTATGAAACAGAAAACAAATTGCTTTTTTTTCTATACATATACATATACGGTATACATATATCTTGAGGAGGGATATCTGAAGTCATAATTTTGGGCAGATAACCCATCATGGATTATCTACCCAAAATTATGATTATATTGCCTGTTAGGTTCAACTGTATTTCCCTAAACTTATCTCAAATTTCATGGTAACAAGAAAAATATTTGAGATAAACAGATTTCATCTCAATTCAAAATTGTTTTCATATACATTAATTACAAAAATGTTAAGTATTTAGAAAATTATGTCAAAAATTACTTATTTTTAAAATAACTACTTAATTTTAAAATTAAACAAAATTTCTTAATATATATTTTTTTACATTATCTGAGAGCATGCACATTCATCTATTATTGTATATTTCAAAATAAGCATTCTTACCCAATGTTAAAATGATAAAATTTTGTCTAATATAGTTGAACCTGTTTCTCGATAATGTTTTTCTCAAAATTTATGTTTTCTCTTGCATTTTCAGCCTAAATTCAATAAATTTTCCATGTTTTTTCTCAAATAATTTTCTACCAAAACTTCTATTTCTCAAATTATGGACTGACATGTCGATAATAAATTCAAAACTCAGCAATTACATTTTGATAGCATAAATTGTAGTTGAGAAACAACACTTGCAATACAGTATATAGTTACAATTTACACTGCTTTTCTGTGATTGGCTTGTCTTATTGGTTGAAGTCATGCATTAGAAACTATTGACAAACTATTTCTGTTGAGATATGTCAAAATGTTTTATTTACACCTAATACAGATATGTACTAAACTTGCTCTTGTATGTCAAGTTGATTCATTTTTAACTAATTTAATTTAACTATAATAATTTTTAACTAGTAATTTGCTGTTTACTAATAATGTCACTTACATAAGATATTATATAAGGAAAATTTAAATCTTTAATAAGTAAAACAATCAAATAATACTTTGATGAAACTTCAAGTATTTTTTAAAATTATTTTGCTAATTTTTAGTGTGTTAACTTTTTTGTGAAGTATACTTTCTTTCCATAATTTATGAAGTCACATTGATGAGAAAACTGTCTCTAAATATATTTAATTTTTAAATCAGTATATAAATGTTATTTGAATTTGTGATTATGACATCAATTTCTCCTTGAGATGGGCCCTAATNTTAAATGGAATTTCATATTAATAAATATTCTTTATTAATAATTACTGTAAGTTAATTTAGTAATATCAGAATGGAAAGCTACTTAATTTTCTGAATTCCATCATTCCAATAGGTTTATTTGTTCTACTTTTCCAAGAATAGGTGTTTATGTATTTTTTTTAAATAGAATTTATAGCACTAAAATTAGTTTTATTAATTGAATTACATGTTCTGTTCATTAATAATAAATTATCCTAGGAAAGAGTCATTATAAAAATATTCACAGTTTACATAAAATAACTTTTCAATGCATTAAACACATGACAAAGATATGCTACTCCTGAAACACTAAAGTTCAGTTGAGACTAATTACATTATTTTTATTAGTCTTCTTTTAAAAGAATTTATTACTCGTTAAGCAGCTGTTGAAGAAGCACAAGTCATGCAGCATTGTGTAGATAATTGTTATTGTTTTCCTGTAGGAGTTAAAAAAAAAAGTTTGTTGTATTGTTATAGAAAATTATACCTTTTGCAATAATTTCTGAATAATTTTAAGAACAATGTTTAAATTAAATGAAAGGTTAGCAAGAATTGACAAATTTAAATATGATATATACATATTATATATAAAACACTTTTTCTGTAAATCTTATTTAAAATAAATTACATTATGATAACTAATATGCTATTGAAAAGTACATTTATAGTAAGTTATTATATATATATATATATATTTAAATGGGAAAAATATAATAATGAAATAATAGATAATTTATATAATTAGCTACTATTTGTGTTTATATATATTCTGATAAAATTCATATTTTATAATTATAAATCTGTATATTTTTATGATCAATGAATGGATTTGTTTGTTTATTCAGAAATAAATTTCCTTAATAAGTATAAAGATAATTTTAATTTTCTTTAATATTCTTTCTTTTAATAGCAAGTGATCTACTTAGTTTTATTTTATTTTTTTAAATCCAGTAACTCCTTGCCTATTTTTAGAAATTTTTCTTATTTTAAATATTAATTAATTCTTTATTACTTTTGTATAAATTAATATTTTAAAATGTTATGTTAAAATATATAAATATTGAAGCTAAGAAATGTCTCCATTTTTTTGTCATTCACAAAAAAGTGCAAAATGAATAAAAATATTCTTTGGTGATTCTGCCAATACCATAATTTACAATACAATTGAGTTAAAATAAAAGGTTGTCTCTGTAAGTGAAACATATATAGCTTAATTAAAGACATTGCATGTTTTTCTGTAGCTTTGAACATACAATGAATAATGCAATAATTTTTAAATTTTTAGGAGAAGTTGAGTTTTTTGTTTTTTTTTTTTGTTTTTTTCGTTGTAAATTTTTTTGTTGTAAATCAAACTTTCAAAGAAATATATAATTTCTATTGCTGATGCTTTCAGCAATAAAAGTTTATATATCTTTTTAGAGAAATCAAAACACTGAAAATAATCACCAAAAGTACACAATCCATCATTACATTATAATTATTTTTACTATATGGAAATATGTTATACAGTAGAGTCCCAGCTCGAAAACTCGGCACTCGATAACCCGGCAGTCTGGATAACTTGACCACACTCTGGCAGGGCAAAAAAACCACTAGTTAATTTTCATTATAGACAGCTTTATGCCTCAAAGTATTTTTCTGACATCTGTCTTATCAGGTAAATTACTGTACACAGTGTATTTATTAATTTTCATTTAATAAAGGCCTTCATAAAGTGCGTACTTTTTCTTTGTTTAATTAAGGGTATTTGGGCAGTTTATTCTCTGTTGTATTCTCAAGCAAACAATACATACAAGTACAGTACAGTATTTTCTGAGGAAACACTCCTACTTATTCTTTTTTAACTCCATTCCCGATAACTCGGCATTTTCACAAACTCTGCCACCCTTCGGTCACATTAGGCCAAGTTTTCGGGACTCTACAGTAATAAAAATATATATATTTGTTTTTTAGGAAATTGAACAAAAGTAATTCGCTGCAAGATATGTAAGAAAAACTGTCTAAAAAGTAACTTTTTGCATTTAGAATTTCTGACTCATGATTATTGTTAAAACATTCAATGCAATTTACTTTCCAAAAAAAATTTTGATGTATCTTATTTTAGATTTGACTTACTAACATTTTATAAATTTAAAGTTTATTCTATGAACTAGCAGACCCCGCCATGCGTTGTTGTGGCTCAAAATGTATCTATTATAAATTTATAACACTTCCCCTGTGGGGGGAAATTTTTCGAAAAATTTCTTTTTAGTGTACATTCTCTTGACGTACCCTATTAAAACGCAATCAAAAACGCAAAAACCCGCATCTAAAATAGTATAATAGAAGCCAAGTTTTTCACAGTAAGCCTTAATCCTGTC